GTCATGTTTTATTTCTTATACTTCTAGCATTACAATAGTAACAATTAAGCCTATCCTTATAACTACTTCTATACTCATTTCCTATGCTAATCTTTTCTGTCTTTTATTCTTTTTGCATTCAGTTTTTCCTGGCTCTCACCACTGTCTAGTCCTAGTTTAAAACTTCCCTTACAGCTGAGTTAATTGCCTTAGCAAACAATCCAGCCCCAACTCTATTTAAATGTAAACCATCTGTTCCAAAAAGTTCCCTTCTTCCACTGAACTGATCACACAAGTCCAACCAGCCAATCTACTCATCCTTACATACTAATTTAAGCCTAGCATTTAGCCCTAGTGACCTACTTATAACTTCATCCCCACAGTTAATTCTGGGCAGAATCCTTGAGAAAGTTAAGTTATGGCCTTTTTCTTTAAATGCCTTTATTAACCCCTTGTACTTATTAATTAGCCCCTCTGAACTACCCTTCCCTACATCATTAGCCCCTACATGCACCACAAAAACTGCATCTCTGCTAACCCCCTTGATTATATCTCCTGCTCTGTCATTTATACCCTAGCTCTACTTGTGCCCCTGCATAGCATAATCTGATTCTTTTCTCCCTATTTACCCCACATACTATATACATGCCTTGTCAAGGAATCACCTATAACTATAACCTCCTTATCATGCACATCCTTCTATGACCCTTTTGTTTTCCTTCTCTCCAATAATTCCTCATTTGCAGAAGCCAAGGGCTAAAATTTTTTACTCAACAGAATAGGTTCATTAAAACTAAACACACTACTTTTTACTCTAATAGTACTCTAACTTCCTGAAAGTCATTGTTAGCTGATGTATTCCTTGCATATAAAAGCTTAAGCTCCTCCTTAAATCCTGCTGTCATTTACCACAGTCTACACTTCACTTTATTTATTGCCTTTACTATAATTATGATTGCCTCCAACTTCTCCTCCAACCTACAAACTCTACATAAATATTGCACATCTTCATTACTAGCTTCCTTAAAAGTACATGCCAGTCCCAAGTTCCCAAATATAACCCACTCATTGCACCCATTATACCTAACAAACTGTGAACGCTTAACTCCTACACTAGTCTTAACCATTGTATTTATACTTGTAGCCTGAAAATAAATACTGAATACCAAATGCCAGTAGCCTATTGTTGACAGTTACTATTAAGCCTAATGTTTAAGAATTAATTATTATTTTTATCACTACTTTGTCTTCACTATAAAGTATCTTTAATTCTATAGAACTTAATTTATTATAACAATATATATAATGTTAATAATAAAATGTATTTATCCTGATTTACATTATAACCTAAGTATTTCTATAAGCTGAATTTAAACTATTGGATCCAAGTTCAAGTAAACAAGTTAATTCTTAGAACACCAAGAGACAATAAACTAGTTTTTAGATTGTATCTATTTAATAAAACAATGTATTTATCATGTTTTACAATTTACCAATATGTTGAAATATACCTAAGCCTAAAGTATCATTACACATACTAAGCCTATTTAAACTACATCTAGAAAAGTAGTAGATGATGTTGGAATGCTCTATTAATTAAATAAGGCAATGTTGTTTAATACATGGATAGTAATTGGTAAACACTTTAATAATGAAAAATGCTGAGCAGTGCAATGTATAACAGGAATTCAGTGTATATGCAAAAAAAGTACTTTTAAATAGTTTTGTATCACTTGAAATTGGAATTCTGTAATGTATTCATGGTACAAAAAGTTTTATTTTCTAGCCAAATTAATAAACTGCACTGTGGTCCTGATTACACTTGCAGAAAGCTAAATCATAGATATAATAGTTTTTACTCACAATGTTTCTCTGATTTTACATGGTGTTATTTTGAATACCAGATTTAGGGTTAACTTGTATAAATTTTTTATATACATTTGTAGAGAAAGATGAAAAATTAACAGTTCAGAATATTTCAGTGCAATAATTTGTTTCAGAACAGATGTACTGAAGAACTGATAATCAGACATTCAAAAATATAGGCAACATACATAGTTTGCATACAGAATCAATACCGCGTGTATTTACAAAACAGGGACATTGTACAGATAATGGTACCTGTGGTATTATAACCTACTTTTACCCTTCAGAGCACCTCAGCAAGCATCCCTTGAAGTCAAAACTTGCCTCACAACAGATAATGATGGCTTTATCACTATTATAACCTAGTGTTTTGCCGTCAAGTTTTACTTTCCTCCTTTGTTGAGTAAAACCAATGTGGCATATTGTGTTTCTCCATACATTTTCTTCCATTTACCTGCACTACATCTCCTAGATCTTGCTGCACCATTGACACTGTAATTGAATGCCCATATCGCTTTAAGTATCGCTGGCATAGTTCTTCAATTGTACAACTTCCATTTAGCTGCTCCATCAACAATCTTCTGACACGTAATGACACTTGGCGTACAAACCCTCTATCTACCAGTGTAATCATCGGACCTTCTGCCATTTTCAAAACCTGAGTGGTAAGAACATTTTAGTTTTTTTGAAGCCATTTGTTTTCTGCACCTAACACAAAATAGTTAAGTTGTGTGAATAATTTACGAAGAATTATTATTATCATCATATTGGAAAATGTACTCTCATTTGAATTTTATGCTACTTTTACAAACATCAATACAAACTAGATCAAGAAAAACGGAACCTAGTTACTATGCAAATCTAAAGGTCAATCAAAAAATGTAAATGTCAACCACATGAAGTTGCATCCCGTAAACCCTCAACTTGGTAGAAAGAGCCATCTACCTTGACTTTTTTAATTGTGAGAAATAGCCATAACCACACGAAAAAAAAAAAAATACTGGTTAGAAATCGCACGTTAGCATAAAATGTTTTCATAAGACAATCAAATTAATACATCATATTATATTAGTAAAACCTTCCCTTCCAGACAACACACTAAAATTGACAATGGCATTTGTGATACAAATGTGAACATTTAAAGTTTCATGAATCTGAAAGGATGGGTGTTTGTATGATTTATTAATTTCGTAATGATGTACAAATTCATGAAGTTGTAAGAATTTTAACATTCAAGTGAGTTTATTCCATGCAAACATTTGAAGAATATATAATTTTATAAAGTTATAAGGGTTATCTTAACAGTCATATCTCAAACAAATCCTAATTATGAAAAGAAAGTTAATTTGTTTAGACATTAAGACACTTTATTACACAATAAAACCTTTGTTAAAACTATCTTTGTTGCAAGTAATAAAAACTGAAAGAAAAAAAAACTTGTATTCAAGATATGATTGGCTTACTTTAAGTGTCCTTATTAAAAGGGAGGGAAAAAATTATAGCAAAGAAATGCTACATATTAACTTATAAACTGTAATATCATCACAAGCATTTCTGCAGATTGCCAAGTTGAAATATGAAAGTATCAAATCCTTAGAAACGAGTTTTATGTAACTGAAAGAAACATGTTTCTAAGAGAAACAGATTCAAACTACCAATATTATCTATGACTTCATGAATAATTCTTACTATTACATGTAATTACTTCAATGACTATATGAAAACAATACAGATTCGTTTGAGTTGCTATCAAAAACCTTTTCTAGAAGATAGTACCACAGCTGTACAGTATCTTCTGTTCTATAGTATATATCCTTTACATACATCCCAAGCATCAGTTGCTTACTGTTAGCTAAATTTTGGAAATTTTTGTGTCTAATTTAGCCTGAATGGAGCTAAGGCTAAGCTTATTTTTTTGACTAACCTTTTAACAATTAGGACATTTCCCTACTGTTAACAAATGCAGAATATAACCCACTAACCACCAAAATTATGTTAACAACTAAAGAAGCTTACTTTCCAAAATAAACAAAATTAAAATTATTTAGGTACCTTCACAGCATGCTTCAATTTTGAAAGTAGGTTTTCTGTGCTAGAGCAGCCATACTCCTCGCAATGTAGGGCATGGCCATGTAGTTTCAAGTACGCCTTGGGGAGATGTGACAAGAGGAAAGTCTGGTTAGGGGAATCTTTCACAACAGCCACAATCCTCTCTGCCATAACTCTCAATTTCTCTGATTCTTGTAACTCTATAACTTTGTCCTCACCTGAACCTGTTACCTGAGGATGGAAACCAAAACCAGTATTGGTTCAGTAAATGTACTACATTAATGAAATGAAACATTTTTTATAAAAAAACTGACCCATTGAAATTACAATCCACAGACAGAAAAACGTTTTCTATAAAAACAGGAAACACTGTGTATTTAAGTGTTTTACACTCACAAAAAAGAAACCTATCATTCTATAGGTATTTGAAGAACTTGTAGCATTT